CGCAGAAACACCTGCCACCAATGGCACGGATACCAGAAAGAAAGACGGCGGCTTGCTTGGGCGTATCACGCCTACACATCCTTCTTGGCCAGATGCATTCAAAGTCAATATAGAAAAAAAACAATGTATCTCAGTGCGTCTAACAGTTGAGGGTGCGGATTGACGCGAGTCGAATACGTTGGAAAAGTGTGGGCCTTGCAAATCTTCGTCTCCCGAAAATCAGGATAAAATCACTAAAAACTAGGACCTAAAACCATTGTCAAATCGTGAGACCCATCACTTAAACGTGCAAGTAAACGCATTGAAATAAGTTAACGGATCGATTTTCTTGAAATAAATTAGATTTGACACGTATATGCCAGTTCTCCATCGGAGTGATTCGTCCGTTCGTGTTTTATCACATCGTAGTGACCATTACTCCACCACCACCATGCTTCGCTGGTTTGCTGAGGGAGCAAAAGAGCGGCCTCTGTGGCGACTCAAGCAGTCTCAGGCGACCAGAAGTTCTGGCTCGATTTTTGTCGTGTTATGTGGTTTTTTGGAGGGGGCAAACAAAAACTGCTTGCATGCCCTGCCCTCTACTTTTTCATCCCCATTTCAAAAATGGCCAAATGGAATTTGGCCATTTTTCAAACTTGGTGAAAAAGGGCGAGCCGTGTCATTGAAATATGTATTATTGACGTTAGCGCGTACCCCGGAGTGACGTCAGATGTAAACATTGTTAGCTGTTACATTTTCGCATAAAGTGCATAACATTGCTTTTATATGCACATTACTACCACATTTATCCGTCTATTAACGATGATTGCCTTGCATGTGGTGCACTGCGCTGAGTGCATTGGTTAGTGCAATACGATATTGAACTTGGTTTCTCCCCGATGCTCAGTGTTCTTTGAGATGGCATGCATCTGAGCCAACGCTGTGGTCCATCAGTGAGCCAGAGGTTTCCAGGAGAGCAGGCTCTTGCTTCAGGTTGTCAGTGAACCACTGATATAATGCGACCCATGCTGCGATTGTGCAGCGTTCCATGGATTCTGAGGTGTGCATCTAAAGACATGTGTGCATGATGTGTGCGTCTAATGTCTGTCTGTTGGGAACATTGTCGCTGAAGATAGAAACGGGTCTGCGTGAAATGCTTAGTTTTTATATTTTTCTACATAAAAGGCTTTTATATCGATTGTGGGCCTCATCGTGATTATTCAATACTCCGGCAGAAACAAATATTTCGAATAAATGCAGCGTGTCAAGTGCAACGCATGCAGCTTGATATATTAAAAATTACCTTTGTATCTACTTCAGTTACGTCTGTTGTTCCGAAAGCGCCACATTTTGTTTAGCAGCACCCCATATCCTCAGGACAGTAAGAGAAGGAATCTGCCTGTGGCTACAGCAAAACCGCGCTTGCCATTGCACTTGATTGGTCGATTATTCAAATAGGATGGTTAATCTTGGTGATTTTAACGCACGAAGCAGTAGGTACATATTCCGATGATATGTGCGGTCAAATGCTTCGGACATTTTACGCGCTGCCAGCGCAGTACATTTATTATCCCTCGATAGCTGGGACAACCATGTTACTTGAAGATGACTGAAACACTTCCGTAACTTAACGCAGATAGCAAATTTTTACTCTTTCGTTGTAGTCAAGGCATGTACCACAAAAACAACTTGTTCCCACGGTAGTGACCCATAAAACTTGTTATACATCTCAAGTCGACTAACTGGGCTGAACCGAACAGTTGAGTTAGCCCTACGTTTTACTTCCAAAAATTATATGGAGTCGAGCCAAAGAATTTAGCAACTTTCGCCGCTATGGCACCACCACCAGCATCCCAATGTGAACGATGTCATACAACGCCACTTGGTTACCTACAAATTAGAGTTAGAAATCGCGAAAAAATTGCATCTTTGACTTTCGAACTATTTGCTGTGGGTGCCCTCAGCGATCTAATTTGTATTGTGGTTTCGTCGCACATAACGACAGATGGTCGTTTTGATCACTTTAAGTGCCTGAATTTGATGGTATTTGATAACTGCCAAACTGTAGCTTATTGATGAAGTACTACAATGTCGACCTAAACACTCATTCTGTAACACATACAAATGACTCATTAGCTGGCAACTAGCCATACACAGCACGCAGCCTTGGGAGTTAGCATAAGGGAATACAGCATGCAGCAACGAAAGCTTCCACGACCGCATGCAGCAAGCAACCACCATGCAAGCCAATACAGCATGCGACACCAACATCACGTGCACAATCGGTAAGGCATGCACATGCCGCATGTCATAGTATTTAGTTGTTGAAAAATGAGTTGAAAATAATTCTCCCAGTGTTTCTCGGAAAACGAATAGGCCTGAAAATGGCAGAAGTCACCGGTCTCCGGGGAAAATGAGCACGCCCCATGTGTGCCCGCCCTATGCCTAGCGGTCCAGAGTTACGCTCATGAAGACTGATACTCGTATAACAAAAATGGAAAAATACAGACAGGAAATCAAACGGCTGAATTCCAGAACTTGGGGGGGGGGGGGGGGCGGGGCACCAAATGCCAGGGGCAGCATCGTACCAGTTTGTTTTAGTCGAGTTGAAAACCGATTTCGATACATGTTTAGATCGATATGTGCCCTGAAGGAAGCTTTTGAATGATCCGAACATCCGCACAGATATGTATCGGAATCTTCTGATCGCCTCGAGTAGGAAAACTAAGACTGGAACGCAGCTCCTCGCAAAGCCTGCTTCTATTGCCGACGAGTGGAGTCGTCGCGGGTGTAAGGTCATGCCTTTTGAATTATACTTCTTAGACTTTCACAAAACTCAAATAAAAATGAAAACTGACCTCAACACGACGAGCACAACTGACACTGGCAAAGCCCTAGTATGGGACCCATAGCAGGCTCAGTTCGCGAATATCGAACTGAATGCTAACGTGAATCTGTTGCCAACTTGACGAAGGTGTGTCGACTGGTCTCCTCTTGACGAAGGTATATTGACTGGTCTCTTGACGAAGGTATATCGACTGGTCTCCTCTTGGCGGAATTCCGAACTCCCCATGAGTCAGCGGCAGTGGCAGGTACCTATGCCCAGACTCGTCTCTACCTCGTGGTCAGCATGCTGTACATGGCGGTGATGAACAGGAAGCTTAAAGGCAAGCCAAACAGCGCACGAGCTATTCAGCACTCACGATGTAACGTTTTAGGAGGACCACAAAACAGTCAGCTTCTACCAAAACCCAGAGTTGTCCGTTCTCACAAAAGGAGACTGCATCTACGTGTAGGACAAACACAGGAATATAAAACTAAAGACTTAATATTGTGGAGAAAAATCATGTCTGACCTCCATTTTTCAACGACTTTCTGTGAGGAATAACTCGACTTGTACATGCAACCCTCAAGATTAGCTCGTCAAGCTTGGGGAAACGTCATCGCTCAGTCCAAAAGTTGAGGGCTTTTTTGCCTCCTCCCCTCTCTCTTCCGTGCCTATGGAGGCAACACCACGGATTATTGCAGCGAGGGTAGCAGGAAGACATACATCCAAAGGTCGATCATCAGACATGAGACCCCCTCAATCTCAGCGACCCCCTCGAAAAAGTGGCCCACCACGGGTATAAGTGCATGCAAACTGGGCTCCTTAGTGCCATTTTATTTTCTAAGGATGTCGTTCACCATTGTTTAAGTTTAAGCACTCTCAAGAGGAGGCACCCTAGGTCGGATGCAGCACAATGCATATGCGAGTTAGACTTTAAGAGGCTTACCCTCGCGTGCGCGGAAAAGAACACTCACCAAAAAGTTCACTTCATTCTGACAGCGGCCACTTCGTCTTACCAACCCCGAAACAAAAGGTATTTTTTGCGATTTTGCTTCGATTCTCGTCTTTTTGTATGGAAATACTACGAATTTTTTGTTTGTATTGTTTGCATTGCTTTGAACTTTACTTGGAAGTAAGCAAGACGGCATGTTCACGGCATTGGACAGCGTACGTACGGACTGCCTTGTCATATACTTTCATTTGCCTCATAAAAATAAACACAACTCAAACGCCTACACACTCATGCCTGCGAGTACGAATGCGCCACAGAAAGAATTGCTGAGAAGAATCAGCAGAGACCAACGGCATTGGCTGTAAAGTTAATACTGCGTGGCGTTCAAGCCTCGCAGTTTCCATGCCAAATTAAAATCTACTTCATTCTGTTCGAATATGGAATTTCAATTCGAATCCCGATTCACCCACCATATAATTACAATTTGAATGACCTCCAGCCTAACCGCAATGCCTAGTTTACAGCCAAAAGCGGCACGCAGTAGGCAAATGAATCGCCTGATTTATTTCTATTTGTTCCAAAGTTATGCCATTCTGATCCTGCATACCTCAATATGGCGCCAGACGCTAATATTGTTGATAACCAGAGGAATGCTGCCACTTATAATGACGCAAAATATTTCAGCTGGAGCGACTCAGATTGGTACGTGCTAAGCCGAGCTCAATCCCCGGCAGCGTTTATTCCTGGATGGCGTCTATTTGCAGACAAGAGATCTGCAGCTGTAAGCACTCCGGAGAAGCAGCACAGCCTCTAGAGGACCAATGCATGTTTTTATCGGGTTTTGAACTCAGATAGCCATTTTAAGATCATTCATTCCGTGCAGTTCAAAGTGATGTCCCCTTTAGGACTTAAGCCCTCTCCTTTCTGAGCTACAGACACTATAGCACACTGTGTTCAGGGCCAAGACAAATATGACCACGAAGTTACGCGTGCCAGGTACACGTCAGCACGAATCACCGCATCAACGAGCAGCGGGTGGCCCTCAACCAGCATGACGCGTGACATGCAGGTTTGCATCTTGAGCCGCGTTTTGTGATACATAAGACAGGCAAGCAGGCGTCACTGAAGTCACCTGGGGTGTTCAGCACATACCGGCACGTCATCCCGACGCATGGGAAATCAGCTCAGAGACCATAAAGTTGTGTGAGGTGCATAAGGCTTGAAAAAGGTGCGTGTGTTGCGATGGCCTCAATTGGTGAGGGAAGCGAAGGAAACGATCGGCAGGGTGCTTTTTACCCATTAGGACACAGAGAAGGAACTGCATATGAGTCACCTTATTGTGAGATTTCCGTCGGCGGACAAGCAAGTGGTAGTCCTCACCGATGACAATGGGCCGACAGTGCTGGACGGCGCGTCGGCAGACGGGCGCGAGGTCTGCGACGTCTCGGCGGCGGAGCTAAGGGCCCGTCACGCCCCTGTCGGATCCGCCCGGTGAGCCGCTGACAGCCGACACTTGTGCCACGCCGCTGGCCCGTATAAAAGTGGCCGAGGCAGCCACACTGTACCACGGCAAAATGCTTCGTCTGGCTGTGCTCTGTCTCGCGCTGGGCGTTGCCCTCGCCAAGCCGCCGCCTCCCACGGGGAGAGCCGGCTCCGAGTCGGTGCCTCCTCCAGAACCTCGCCTGCAGGAGTCGGCGCCTCCTCCGGAGCCGCGCCACGCCCTGCCGCTGCCGCCGCCCGACTCTGAAGACAGAGCCACGTATTCGCTCCAGCCTGGCACGTACTTCATCACGTCACCCGGCTACCCCGGGCGGTACCCCAACAATGCTGGATTCAGCTACACCCTGCGTGGCACCCGGAGTCAAGTGCTCGAAATTAGCTGTTCCACATTCAGCGTCGAGGGTCACAGTACCTGCGACTATGACTATCTCTCCATCAACAATGCCAAGTACTGCGGCAACCTCGGTAGCATCAACGCCGTCAGTGGCTCCACGCTGCAGGTTGTCTTCAGATCCGACGAGAGCGTCAGGCGAACCGGGTTCTACTGTCTGATCACCGTCCCAGAGGGTGGCGGACCGGCCGCAACAACGCCTGCGACAACGGCTGCGACAACGGCTGCCACCACGCAGGCGCCATCCGGGGGCCAGTGTTGCGGCGTCCCCAACAGAGCGTCGCGCATCGTCGGCGGCGTCCAGACCGAGGTCAACGAGTACCCCTGGCAGGCGGGTCTGGTGAGCCCCGGCGGCACCCGAACCTACTGCGGCGGCACCGTCATCAACAACCGGTACGTGCTGACGGCAGCTCACTGCACTGCAGGCTCCTCTGCGTCCCGGATTCAGGTGCTGCTTCGGGAGCACAGGATCGGCACCTCGGATGGTGAGCTCCGCTTCAGCGTCTCCCAGATCATTGACCACCCCGCTTATTCATCCGCCTCCTCGTCCGGCTACGACTTCTCCCTGCTTAAGCTGTCCACGACCATCAACTTCTCGGCTCTGAACAACAAGGTGGCGCCGGCGTGCCTGCCTTCCAGCGGAGACTTTGTCAACGTGGACGCCGTCGTCAGCGGCTGGGGCACGACCTCCTCGGGCGGCTCGCAGGCCACGGCCCTGCGTGAGGTCACCGTGCGCACCCAGTCCAACAATCAGTGCAGACAGGCGTACAGCACGATCAACGACAGCATGCTGTGCGCCGGCGTCAGCGGCGGCGGCAAGGACTCTTGCCAGGGCGACAGCGGCGGCCCGCTGGTCACGCTGGTCGGAGGTCGCTACAACCTGATCGGGGTGGTCTCCTGGGGCAGCGGCTGCGCTCTGGCCAACTACCCGGGTGTCTACGCCAGGGTCACGTACGTCAAAACCTGGATTGACAACAACACCAGGGACGCCAGTCTCTGCTGAAGAAGCAGCGCCAGGCCCGTCGGAAGACAGCGGAGGCCAGCAAACGTCCTTCTCACCCGTCTCTAAATTTCCAGTGGAAGGAAGACGATTTGGGATCGGGGAGGACCACGCCATCGGTGGACTCCGTTATTTCAGACACGAACTTGGTAGCACGTGGCCACGACAACGATGAACGCGATCAGTTTAGGACTTTATACAGTCCACCATTTTCTTTAAACTGCTCTGATGCACTTGGGAACGTATGATTCAAATCCGGAAACTTTGCTGTGTTCATGGTGAAGGGAGCAGTAACTTATTCGAATATACTCTGGCGAAGCAATGTTTTAATGCATATCAACTCACACAGCCTATGACCGACTCCATGTTTTCACGCCTCTGAGACTGCGCGGATGTGGTGTGACGTGGGCGCATGGGCCTCGCGCGTGATTATAACTATTTTTCCCCAATCACCGTTTGATGTGCATCACACCTCCGGCCAGCCGGCCTTATTTGGTGACACGCCGCCAGGGGGCCATATGGACAGAAAAGACAATTTCGACCGATGGCTGATTCACATTGCCGGCCGATAGTGATCCCACAATGACGTCGTGAGCGGCTGGCACGCCAGCAGTGAGTGGTCACATTTCAGGGGGTCAGCTGAACGAAATGCATGCTTTGGCCGGACAACTGTGTTGCGGGGCTCGGTTCACCCCTCCAGATAAAATGTCCCTACTCCCAACAATTATCGGATGCGGCCAATTGATTTCAAGGAGCGTGATTTCTTTGCTTTATTTCAATTTGCCTTTTTAACTGAAACAAAAGCCAAAAGGCACTGAAAGATACAATTTTGTTCGAATCTTTATGTGCATGTATTAAAGGAACCATTTAATGGTTCCTTGAATACATGCACATACATGCACGCCGGCGCCATTTAATGACTGCTTAAAAACACCAGCGCTATCAATTCTATAGGGGTCTAATAAACTCTCTGTATGCCGATGACGTTAAGGGGCTATGACAAAACTGTTCTAAGCCGCACAAATATATAGTGAACGTAGGTGAGAGTGGGCGCATGTTGCAAATCGAAATGGGGTCATAATTTTGCGTTGACGTGGCCAACTCGAATCATCTTTGGAATGACCAGCCTTTGCTCAGAATCAAAAAGTGAAAGCATTGCATGACATAGGCTTGATTATGCGCGTTCGCAAGTCTTAAAACGAAAACCTCGATGCTCGGTGTTGCAGTCTCCGTAGGTCACGCGGCTTGGCCCCGCAGGTAACATCAGGGGATGGCCAGCGGGTGGACGAAAACGGTGATATTTCTGAAAGAAACAACTTCTGATATTTATGACGTCACTTAAGATTCTAAGCTCACAGACCCAAAACTGTTTTGCATAATATCTTCCACATGTTTATTTGGGACACGGGTGGAAGTACTCGCTTGTATTTGCTTTTTTTCACTTTCGACCCCATTTCAAGTCGCCCTATTCGGCACCAAGGAAGGTCCTTACCATGTCCGAGCGAAGGCCCGGTGGGTAGAACACTACGGCGTACAATATATTTGGCAGCTGGGGGCTAAAGGGCCGTTCCGTTACAGTGCGAGATGCCTGCCGGTTGCCATGCAGGCGATGCGGTAGTGGGGTCCCCTGCTCGGTATGGAGGCCTTTAAAGTGATCAGTTATGCATTGGTCGTTTGCCTGACGCCGGAGGCCCATGGCATTGGTATTTGGTACTGAAAAACTCTGGAGGCCCCTCATTGGCGCAAAGAGATCCCTTATCGCCACAAATATCCAACGCCTGATACAGAGACGCCAATTCAGACCGCTTGCTGAAGCGGACCGCTGGCGGAAATGGGATGGAGAGCTTCCCTTTCTGCACCGGGCCTCCGATTAACACAGAGCCTTCCACTGTCTCATTTTGGACTCTTGTCGTAACCTCTCATATCCACTTCCATTGTCCGAGGGTCCTGGCCAGCGCATGAGGCCCTCCAGCGTTCTGGGTCCCGTCCCTGTCCTTGCTCAGAAAATGTTTCGCCAGCCAACTCGGGAGCCCTCATTGACACAGAGGCCCCAACCGATGTAAATCGCGGGTCCCGGCCTTGTCCCTGCTGAGGGAACGGGCCCTGAATCCTAGATCTAACTAGATCTGACTAGATCCGATAGCAATCTGGTGGCGAATCCGTCACGCGTCACGGTCGGTAAGCCTCCACCACAGGGTTGGACCCTGAATCCTAGATCTAACTAGATCTGACTAGATCCGATAGTAATCTGGTGGCGAATCTGTCACGCGTCACGGTCGGTAAGCCTCCGATACAGGGTTGTAGTTATGCGAAGGGGCTGGGAGGGGGGTAACGGGGAAAGCCTATCACTGAATGCACTACAAGCAGGCTTCTCTCCGAATTTGACTCACTTTCCTCTCCACAGTATGAAGTTTGAGTGCCCCAACTGACAAGGAAACTGGCGCTGCTCTTATACGTTATCTTGCTCTGTCTCGGTGGAATATGCTGTTAAGCATCATTATCATTTTGTTTGCCGTCGGCCGTCAAAACTACGTTTCGGTTATCGACGTAGGGCCGATGCTATTCGGCTTTGCACCTTGTTGGACGTGCACGGCTTCAGAATTAAAGAGCCAGTTGGTTAATGTGCGCAACAATCGAAGGCTTCCAAAGAAACCCCCGGCTGGAAGCCACAAGACGGCGTGCAGGCTGCAACGCAGCACTCGCGTTAGGCATGCTCCACATGGCTCATGTTGTTTTCTTGGTCATTGTCGTATGATTACCACTATCGGTTTATTCGGCTGGTGTCGATCGGCAGGTTTTCGTATCTGTTCCAGGGAATATTCATGTCGGGGTTGAAGTTGCGTTCCAAAGAACTTTTAAACAGCTCTTTAGAATGTAAAAGGCTAATAACTTGGTCACGTTTTTTGGTCTTTACATTTGCCCGGGTTTGCTTTCATTTTCCAATATGACATGACAAAATGGCGCAACTTGCTGCAGTCCGTAGAACTTGAACCATTGCTGAATGGTGACAAAATGCTCAGAAATTGAAAAAACTTGACCAGTATCAGCAAGACAAAATAATCATATACTCAAAAACGTGCAGCATGCGCGAAAGCAGAAGATGTCCAAATGAATACGGTACGACCACGGCACTTTAAACGTGTAGCTTTCCCAGTCAACTGCACTCAACTGAACATTGCATCGCAATTTCAATTTTTTCGTCCCTTTTTCCTGGCAAACAATGGGTAGAAATGCTCTTTGCGATTAGCATGCTATTGAGCCCCCAGCCCTGGCGGACAAAGCTACCGTTTGGGAGCCATATGAGACATTGGGGGCCAGTAGTTCACCCAAAAGAAAACAAATCAACATCTGTGAAATAGCCTAGAAGAGTCCACGAGCCTGCAGGTCCTAGACCCCCCCCCCCCCCATATACTTCCGGAAGGCAGTCTCCTGGCTATGTCTCTTTCACACAAACTCCAAATCATCATCAGTAGCTTTAGCTGCACCGGTCATAAAATTATGCTCGTAACAAGAAAATCCCAAAGGTGGCATAAACTTCAGCATATTTTACTCTCATCGGCATGATCAACGTTGATTGCAAACTACTGCAAAAGGCGAACTTCAAGGAATTTTGACAGTAATTCAATGTTGTATATTGCGCGGATCCCAAAACGACGCAGCAGCGACATAAGAAGCGAGGGGACATTTGCAGGAGGGAGCAAGGGCTCCTCCTGTATCAGCGTATCAGGCGCGTGGTCGGGCAGGTATGCGGTTATCCGGAGGTGTATTTGAGTGCTCAGATCGCTGTTGTGAACAAATGAAACGTGTTTTAATACAACCCAAACATGGTAGTTACATTGACTTGTGAAACTTGTCAAAAGCAAGTGGTGAGCCAGTCGGGCCGCACGGTTGCGTCTTCGACCGCGCGTTCCGTCTCCCCTAGCTTCTGGTCGTCCAGTTTGTTCCTGCTCCCCACATGCGTTAAATATACTCTACCAATAAGCATCAGAGCCATTGCAGCTGTGCAAAATGGCTTCAATCAGAGTCTCTGATTTTAGACATTTTCTGATTATTCATCTCCGATTCAGAGATGAATAAGCACCATGCATGTACACTGTTTTCTGCTAGTATATACATATATGCATACCATACAGGGTGCCAGTAGCATACCAGGCTCACTGCCAGTTTAGGGAACCAGAAGTACTGAGTCTGATTCAACCACATGATGCCTTCTGTCATTGGAAGGGTGGGAGGTATACATCAGCATGAAGTGTGAGCTTTTGAATATGTCATGACTCAATGTCATCATCATGGCTTGCAAGATATGATATTACACCATGGTTTACATGGTTCACATATGTGAACATATTCTGAATGCTTAAAATTATTTAGGCAGTGCTTATACACTCTCTGCTTTTCATGCCCCTAGATTAGTGTATGGGACATGTGTGTTTTGCATGTAAATGAATATGTATTTAATATGAATATGTATTTTTCATTTGTATGAATAAGTATATCAAATAATTTATATATCACAGGTTATCTGCTGTGCACACTGCAAAAATACATGTTGTGCTGACCTGCTGTTCTGCAGAAAAGTGGTCATAACAGCACCAGTTTCAGTGCATGTACACGTTGAACCCAGCACTCAATGCTTGTGCAGTCGCAGCCAGCTTCAGTGCTTAGAGGGTTGATGTTTCAAGGAATTGTGATACTACCAAAGTAACATCAGGCAACTACATTCCATAGTGGGTTTTCGCACTGCAGAGACATGGAAATTCAGCACAGTTGGTCCTGGCTTGAGTGTAGGACACATAAGCACAAGGTTCAGCATACTGATGCTGGATATGTGTCTGTCTGGTGCTTTTGATAGGCTTTTTCAGGTTGTACTGTTGTGGAACAGTCCTCAAATTCCAAAGAAAAGTGAGCACTGGCCATAATCTGTATGTGATTGTTTTGCAGAATTTGTAAGCACATTGAGTGAAGTGCTGTGAACCAGCATGCTACAAACTTGTGATTCTCACAGCTAAGATTTGTGCCCCAGCCTGCATCTAGTCAAAACACTTCTGTCATTAGTGAAAAATCCACCACCAGCAGCTTTTCTGCATCAAGGTGATGTCCTTGAACTTGGAGCCATCCCTGAAGACCGAGCGCGCGAGAAATGAGACGAAGATGGCTTGTACGGATGATCAGTTTGTGCCGAACCACACGCATACTCCGGCGACACGTTCTGAAGAAGAAGGGCGGCATACAGCTCCTTTGCCTCCGAGTGGCGTACCCGACTCGTGCGAAGCTGCCCAGCTGCCTGAAGCAGGTGCTGCTGCTTACACCGCCGCCACCGCGGATGGTACCCAGCTGACAGCGGCGCTGCGAGTGCTGCTGGAGCCGCTGGGCTTCGAGTGCCACCCGCTGCTGGTGGGCTGGTACAACGTACAGGTGTCAGCGCGCTTCTGGCTGCCGCAGCCGCCAGACACGCTGGCCGTGGTCGTTATGAGTGCACCGGCCATGTTCGAGCGCTGCTTCGTGCCACACCTGCGGCGCGCCGGCCGGCGGCCCGGCGCGCGCCGCGACCCGCTCGACTCGTGCATGCGCGCCGTGCTGCCGGCGGCGGCGCGGCGCGTGCATGCGGCGGCGCGCGTGCTGCACGACTTCGACATGGCGCCGGGCCGGCGGCCGCGCGTGCTGGTGCAGACGGCTGGCCACGTAAGTGGTGCCGTGCACTTGTACCGGCGCGCCGAGCTCGCCGACGACCCGTGGCCGGCCGAGACCAGCGTCTGCGGGTGCTGCTTGCACCCTCGCTATGGCGGCTGGTTCGCGCTGCGCGCGCTGGTGGTGATGGAGGGAGTGGAGGCGCCAGCACTGCCCCGCAAGACGCCGCCGTAAGTCCACTTCTGCGGGCGGTTCGATGCGCTAAATCCGCGCCGTTTTTTCGCGCGTTTTGTTCGGCCGCTGGTTCTGCTGGACATGACTGGTGGCGTCTTCGGAAGCTACCAGATCATTGTCGCCTCCTGACGCGCTGCCTAATCGCTTGTGACCACCTAGCATGCTTGCTGTCGTGCCAGGCCAACTGTGTGCCGACCTCGGGTCAGCGCCGTCAAGACGCTGGCTGCAGAGCTGTCTGTCCAGAAGGGAGATCCTGCACTGGCGGGCCTCCCTCATGTCCCGGCGTGACTGGAGACGCCTCTGCTGCGGGCAGGTCCCGGCCATCCGCGCCTCTTCCTTCAGGGAGATCCTGACCGTCCATGGCTCCTCCTTCAGGGAGATCCTGACGACGGACGCGCAGAAGCGCGAACTGCTCGAGCTCTTCAACTGGCATTGGCGCGACTGGCGCTACCGCGACGTGGGCGGCACGGCGCGCGAGCGCTACTCGCCACTGCAGCGCGAGTACTTCGGCACGCCGCCGGGACAGCGCGATGCTCTGGTGGAGCGCCTGCTGACCGATCCCCGCCCGCCGGCGGACGATGGCGGCGGGGACGCGGCGCTACTGGACCTGCTGGACGCCTAGCCGGCGGCGCTGAGCGGTCTGTCTTCCCGCTCGGATGCACCGGCGGCGGACGGCGCGGCGCTGTGTTCGCTGCTCCGTGGTTATGGGACCGTGCCCGCCATCGATGGGCGGTATGTGTGCTGTGGCGGGCGAGGGCCGCCGGTTAGGCTGTCTATGGCTCGCCAGTGGATGAGTTGGCGTCGTCTAGTCTCGGTGACGAGGTAGCTGGCGGCCTGTTGACGGCGTGCTGTCGCGTTGCCATGGTGATAAGGCGTGTGTACAGCTGCGTATCGCCAGTATATGAAGAACGGAATGTTCGTAAAGTGACGCGGGTAATAAGTGCAATAGTTTGGTAAGTCAGTCTCCTGTTCCTGTGTGGGAGCGATGCAGATGTCCGATGTTTTTTATAGAGCGTTTTTTCGTACAGACTTATATTTTCAGCCCTAAACTCCACTGATATTTGCGCGCAGCGGGTGGTTCTGAGCCTTTTCAGTTCTTTGCGCTGATGTCTTTGGTGGGTCTTCAGCAGTGTACGATATAAAAAATGATTCAACAAAGTACTTACCCTCCAATAGCGCCCTGTGCAATACTGCAACTGGTCATTTGCGGCTTTCCGTCTGCTATTTGGATGCCAAATGACCAGCGTTCGGCGTCCTCTGAGGGCTTGATCATCATCATCGTTTGGGCTGCCTGTGTGGCGAGCCACGTATTTTGTACTCTTACGTCGTGGGCGCCAGCATTAGTGACGTAGTCCTGCTTCCTTAGTTTGCAGGTCGTGTGATAGTGATAGTCGTCTGTGATGATATTGGACCGAGGTGGTGGAAGCTGCACCTTACTGCGTGATATCCACCATGCTTACGCCGCACAGGCGATTCGTGCTGTGGTTGTAGTCCACGGGATGGAATACAAGACCCAGATACTCTACTTGTTTCCGTTTGGTTTTCGTCATAGACACTAGCAGACTGTTTAAGCATGGACGCGGCCGACGAAGGCACGCGCGCCCTCGTCCATGCCGCCGTTGCCGCCACCAGCGTAGGTAGAGAAGGCAGGTGGCACTAGTAGCGGCTCAGTGTGCGACTGTTCCCGTTTTCAGAGCGGTCGCGGGGGTGCCGCCACGTTTGCTGCTGCGGCTGTTGGGAGGCGGCACCCGCCCAGTGAGCCGACGTCTGGCGACCGTCGGAGTCCGAGCCCGGTGCCAGAAGTCGCAGCAGGACGAGGAACGGCAGCGCCCGGCCGCCGGGCACGCCTGGACTGGACGCGAGGCGGGGCTTCGACCAGTGACGTCATGTCTCGGCCGGCCGTATCGCCCTGTGACGTCACGTCAGACCCGGCCTCGCCTCGCGACGTCACACTCGTTCGGGCTCCGAGAGTCGGTGGCGTGACAACCGATCCAGCCTCATCGTCCAGTGACGTCACACTCGACCCGGCTCCGGGAGTCGGTGGCGTAACAACCGATCCAGCCTCATCGTCCAGTGACGTCACACTCGACCCGGCCTCGTCGTCCAGTGACGTCACACTCGACCCGGCCTCATCGCCCAGTGACGTCAGACTCGATCCAGCCGCATCTTCCTATGACGTTGCACTCGACCCGGCCTTGTCTGCCGGTCACGTCACAGGGTCCGACCCGGCTCCGTTCGTGGCGCCAGAGAGCTTCGCCGACACGCTGGCGGCCGCGTGTTACGCGCAGCTGGCGCGGCTGGGGCGGCGCGGCCGGCCGGCGCCGCGCCACTGGACGCCGCTGGCCGGCGTGGCACTCTCCGAGCCGCCGCACCGCGCCTGCCGCGTGGTGGCGCTGGGCACCGGCAGCAAGTGCCTGGGTGGCGGCCAGCGCTGCGCCGCCGGTCGCACCGTCTCCGACTCTCACGCCGAAGCTGTGGCGCGCCGCGCCTTCCAGCGCTTCCTGTTGGCCGAGCTGCGTCGCCTGTACGCCGGCGAGGAGTGTTGCCTGCGCCGCGTCGTCGCCGGCGGCGGCGCCGAGCTACGGGCCGGTGTGCGCGTACACTTCTTCGCCAGCCACACGCCTTGCGGCGACTGCTCCATCTTCCCTCGTGCGCCGGACGCCGATGCCGGACCGCCAGCGAAGCGGGCCCGCGTGGACGGCGACGCGCCCGACGCCCACCGGAAGGGCGCGGAACCGGCCGACGGCGACGCGCCTGACATCTACCGGACGGGCGCGAAGCCGGTGGCCGGCGAGCGGGCGGACCCGCGCGAGCCTGGCGCCGGCTACCACGTGACGGGCGTGCTGCGCACCAAGCCGGGCCGCGGCGAGCCGACGCTCTCGATGTCGTGCAGTGACAAGCTGGCCAAGTGGCTGCTGGTGGGCGTGCAGGGCGCGCTGCTCAGCTGCCTGCTGCCGTGGCCGGTGCCGCTCAGCTCGGTGGTGATCGGCCGGTGTCCGTACAGCGCTGCGGCCATGCGCCGCGCGCTGGTGGAGCGGACGGCGCTGCGACCGGCGCCGCTGATCGCGCAGAGCCGGCTCGAGTTTGAGTTCGGCAAGGCGGCCGTGATGCGTCGCGCTGGCGAAGAAAGCACTGATCGCCCCCGGCGGGAGGGGGAGGACGCGAACCGGGGCGTGGAGGAGGGCAGCGCTTCCAGGGTTGTACCATCGCCCTGCAGCGTGGCCTGGAGCCTGGGCTGTGCGCGCGAGCTCGAGGTGTTTGCAGATGGCGTACGGCAGGGCGTCACGAAGAAGGCCCGCGGGACGGCGGCGGCGCGTGTCGCCATCTGTCGACGCGACATGATGCAGGAGTTTGTTCAACTGTTGAAAGATGTCGGTCCCGAACAGCTGCCGACCGAGATGCGCCTGTCAGTTGATGGAGTGGAACGCTTGTCTTACAAGCAGATGAAGGGTCTGGCCAAGTGTTACGGAGAGCGATGGCGACGGGTGAAGGAGGATATCTTCCCAAACTGGGTGGAGAAGCCTGTGCATTTAACGGACTTTACCTTGGCTGACAGCTAACGTGAACATAGAATACAAAGATCGAGAGTGCAGTCTCCGCCACCCGCTGTTCTTTCCTCCTTCTTGCTTCACCCTGAATCCTCGCGACATCCCATTCGTCCGGGAAAGGCCACACGCACCTCCCGTTAGTATGCCCACGTGTCGCGTGGTGAAGTCCCATCGGAACGGCAAGCACAAACCCCAAATAGGGGTCCCCGTGCGGGGTTATATTCGGCGAGTGGACGTAGTTGACGTAGTTGAATAGACGTAGGTGCGTGTAGTTTTGCCACGCTGTTATCTTTTTACTCTTGTCCATCCCATAGCCCGAAACTGCATGACTACCGAAAGGAGCCTCATCTAAAGAGCCAATCAGCATCTGTTGACGCCTCAAATGCACGATCCAAACCATGCTGTTTAGTTGCGTTAGGTCACAACCGGCATAAAATCGCTTAATTTTTGGGAAGCAATATTTTTGCTCGAAAGTAACCTGTGTTTGGCGGAGGTTTGATGCACACTGAACTCGCGGGATTTGGGAGAAGCGGACACCGGCACAGTTTTCACTCTCAATTGCACAGCACTTGGCGGCAGCAACGTATGCCCCGTTCCGCCGTGCCAGTCCTGGAACGCAGACGCATGCACCACCAAGCGCCAGTTTCACATCTGCCGGCCTCCCCGCGGACACGGACGCACGAGTAACCACCCCAAAACGGCGTTACAACCGTGCGTTGGTCAGCGCCCGGAAACGCAATGAGGGTGCTCGCCATCCGTCTGCCGATCACCCTGACAGCTCCTCTGTGGCTGCAGCTGCCAGTGCTGTCCTTCACTGGCCACCCTGGCAGCTCCTCTGTGGCCGCAGCTGCCAGTGCCGTACTTCACTGTCCACCCCGGCAGCTCCTCTGTGCCTGCAGTTGCCAGTGCTGTCCTTCACTGGCCACCCTGGCAGCTCCTCTGTGGCTGCAGCTGCCAGCGCTGTCCTTCACTGGCCACCCTGGCAGGTCCTCTGCGTCTGGAGGGCCGGTCCCGCCCCGCGCGCCACATCGCGTGCGGCGCGCCGGCCGATCAGCCGGCGGGCAGTCGGCTGTTCCCATCACGTGCAATCAGGCGCCGCTGGGCTGGTCCGAGGCGCCGGCGGGCCCGGTCCCCCGCTGCCGCTCCGTCCTCCAGCACTTAAGGTTGCACAGACAGAGCCCCGCCGAGAGTTCACGTACCGGGCCGACCATTTGGGCGCGATGGCCTAAGCCAGGTGCGAGAACTGCCCGAACAGAAGACACAGTCACCTCTCCTAGACCTGGCCTTCTTTGGTTCTATGGCTAGCAGCCCCAACGCGCGTGGAATATGCGTCGAAGAAAGGCATGATGACGGCATTCGTGAGATCAGAGTCCTCTCGCCTTCTGCCACACGAGACGCTCGAATACATCCCGTCGGAAGGACGTTTATTCAGCGAGAGGACCACGTGACGGCGAGGCTGTGACGCAGGCGGGGGAGACGCCTGCTGACGCCGTCCCCCTGCCCCGGGCGCCTGGGGCGTCCCGGTACTTCCCACCCGGCCGGGCGCCAGCAGCGCACGCCAACAGCCGGCGAGCGCGCCGTCTCTGCAGGCGCCAGCGGGGCCACCGGCCGCGGCCCGAGCGCCAGTCCGCTCTCGCGACGGTACAAAAGTACAAACGAGGAGAGGACCACGCCACGGCGGCCGGCGTTTGTACTACAGGCTCGCCCGCATCCCAACAGGTGGCAGGGCCACGGCGCCGCCGCCGCGACGAGCTTTAAACGACTAGCGACGGTAAGTAGAGATGTGCATACGGAGGCGCGCTTTTCACACACTTCTATGGCATGATCGAAATCGGTAAGCATTGCACGTATGTTTGTTCCGCGAATACTCTGAGCGCGCTCCAGCCTCGACCGCGCGTGTCGCCCGAACCGCCGGCACAACAGGCAGATGTTGAACACATCCTCTCAGCGCTGAACACGCTCAGTCACAGCGTATGGACGGCTTGCAAAATACCGCAGCCATAAGGCAGTGGTTGCAGGTGCTGCTGGCAGGCGTCTGAGATCCCCGAGCGGAGCGTGCGGCACCCCACGAGCCTCGCTAACTCCCCACTACGTGCAATCCAGCTGCCCTGACTGTGGGCTATTCCCGTCGGAGAACGTCTCTGGCTAGGTTTCAGCTGGACGGACCATGACTAGGATGACTAGAATGACTAGAATGCAATCGGGTGAGAACAGTAGCAATCTGAAGAGTCTGACCCCCGGGCGGCTCACTCACGATCACCAAATGCGCTCCATCATGGCGTCACATTCGCTCCGCTGTCCCTCCCAACCAGCACAGATCGGCAGCGCTTCCGTCTTTGGCGGCGAGCCTGTGCGCTCCCTCGCGTGACGTCATCGCCCACCCCCGCCGCATCACTGTTGACCGCAGGCAGGCACTGACAGCAGCCTGACCACGGCGCCTGCACCTGCTGCCGGCAGGCTGGCGCTGGCGCCCGCCTACTCCGCCTGGCCGGCGGCGGCTCGCAGCGCCTGCAGCGCCTGCACACTGACGGTCACGTGACCGGCCGGCTCCCCGGCCAGCGAGCTGAGCGGCAGCCGACTCTCCTTCAGGTCACGGCCCGAGGTCAGCAGCTCGGGCAGGCTCAGGTGGGCGTGCCTGCCGGCCATGGGTCAGGTCAGGTCACGGCCCGAGGTCAGCAGCTCGGGCAGGCTCAGGTGGGCGTGCCTGCCGGCCATGGGTCAGGTCAGGCACGGCCCGAGGTCAGCAGCTCGGGCAGGCTCAGGTGGGCGTATCATGCCCGGCGCATGGGTCAGGTCAGGCACGGCCGAGGTCAGCAGCTCGGGCAGGCTCAGGTGGGCGTGCCTGCCGGCCATGGGTCAGGTCAGGCACGGCCCGAGGTCAGCAGCTCGGGCAGGCTCAGGTGGGCGTATCTGCCGGCCAGGGTTCAGGTCAGGCACGGCCCGAGGTGTCAGCAGCCGGGCAGGCTCAGGTGGGCGTGCCTGCCGGCCATGGGTCAGGTCAGAGTCACGGACCGAGCTCAGCAGCTCGGGCAGGCTCAGGTGAGCGTACCTGCCGGCCATGGGTCAGGTCAGGTCACGGCCCAAGGTCAGCAGCTCGGGCAGGCTCAGGTGAGCGTATCTGCCGGCCATGGGTCAGGTCAGGTCACGGCCCGAGGTCAGCAGCTCGGGTAGGCTCAGGTGGGCGTATCTTCCGGTCACAAGTCCGGTCGGGTCACGACCCCCGTCAGCGGGTCAGGTCGGCTGAGATGGGCGCACCTGTGGTCACGGGCCTCAGGGCCAAATCAGGCCAGGCACGGCAGGCTTGTCACCCATGTTACACATCACGCAGCTCAGGCAGCGGCACACGAACGTATACACACGATGGCAAACCCGGCCACAGATGATGATGATGATTGGAGTTTTACGGCTGACCACACATGAAACCCGGCCTCCGCCGGACCTTGACGAACGCTCAGGTCACCACGGCCTTTCCCAGCAGCAGCACCGCCGGCGACGCCTGCCGGCTCGGGCCGACCCGGGCGACGCCGGGCGCCTCGGCAGCGCCGGTGGCCAGCCTCACCCGACGTCGGTACACTCGGCGGACTCGTCGACCGAGTCGGGCGGCTCGGCCACCACGGTGAAGGTGACGAGGCCGCCGTGGTCGGCGCCGCGCCGCAGCTGGCGCGCCAGCAGACGGCGCCGCTCCCGGTGCTCCAGACCGCCCACCGTGATCACTGCCGGTGAGCGCCGCCGTCCGTCACACCCGGCTCGCCGGTGACGGCCAGCGGGCCGCGCACCGGCAGCGCGTGATTGGATACAGTCCGTCGGACAAGCACCACGCTGCCGACCGCGCCGACCGCGGGCCGTTTACCGGCACGTCCGGCCGGTGTCCTCTCACCACACGAGGAAACACGAGTGAGGCAGCGCCCGGTGACAGTCACGACGGGCGTGGCGCGAGCAGGCAGTCCTAGAGACCGGCACCAAGGCCACCTGCGCCGGCGCCGCCCGCAGCCGGCCGGCCGGCTCACCCTTCCTGAAGTTGAAGTGCAGCGGCTGGCTGGGCTCCCCGAGCGGCAGCGAGACCGGCGTCTCCAGCTGCTCGGCCGGCACGTCCAGGAAGCGGTACTCGACGAAGAGGCGCGGCCGCTCGCCAGCCCTCGGCTCCGGCAGCTCGGCGTCCGGTCGCAGCGTCACCGAGTGCACCGTGATGGTGACCGTGTCGGCGGCCGCCGGCTGCCGACAGGGACGGCGACGGTCAGCGGACAGCCCGAGGCACGGAGGCGAGGCCGCGACGAGCCGGCCACACACTGACGGCACCAACGCGCGTCGCTCCTGTCGTCAGTACGCTTCCCATCAATGCCTCTCGAGCTGTTCCCCGCCGCATACTCACCCTCCCCTTTCCGCACCTCCGCTGCTTTGGATGCCTCAGTCGTTAAGCGCATGCTCCTCAAGTGCGTCCCGCCCGTTTTCTCTTGCTCACCGCCCCTGTCCGACCATCCCTGACGAGCCGCTGGCCAGGCCGCTGCTCACCTGTGCGGCGTGCGTCCGGTGCAGCACCACGCCGTCGCTGTCGGTGCCGGTGCCGGTGCTGGGCGAGCTCTGCGCCGACAGCCGGCGGTGAACGTCAGCCGCGATTCGCAGAGGGCGCGGCTCGGCCGCCGCCGCCGGCGCCGCCCGCTCAGACCCGGCGTCCGTGCCGCCGTCCGACAGGCCGTCGGAGCCGGCGCCGCCGCCCCAGGCCGGCGCGCTGGGCGCCTCGGCCGGCGGCGGCGGCGAGCGGCCGGCGGTCAGCGGCGAACGGCACGCCGGCGCCGCCGCCTCGTCTGACGTCGAGCCGGGCCCCTCCTCGCTGAGCGAGGAGCCGCCCACTGCGGCGCGCACCGGCTGAGTGTAAGCACGCGGTGGCGAGGACAGGAATAGCCTAGGCACGGCACGGCACCGCCAGCAGAAGGGAGGGACACGCCAGCGAACGGTCTGCACTGAAGATACGGGGGTCTACAACGTACGTGTACATCACTGATACTATCTGGATATTTGGCCACTGCTTCTGCGAAGCCCATACATCGCGCATTCCCACCCCAGTGTACCTCGGCGGTGGGAGGCCCAGACCAAGCTCAGCCCAAAACGCCAAAGGACAGCCGCACCTTCCGTCTTGCACCGCTTGGTCCTTCCCTCCGCTGTCCCACTCCAGCCGCCCCAGCCACTCACCCTGCACCTGATAGCCTTTGACCGGCGGCGGCGGCCGGTCGCCACCCGACATGACCGTCTTGTCGGGGCCCTGCCGCCGCCTCCTGCTCCTCCACGCTGCTGGCGTCGCTGGCTGACGACTCCGTGTACGTGGCGTAGCCGGAGTGGCGCGGTGGCGGCGGCGGCGCCGTCTCGCCGCTTCGCTCCTGCTTGGCTGTCGGCCGCGGCCCGGAACGCACCCGCGCCGGCTCCACCACCCGCGCCCGCGGCGCCGGCTTCACGCCCTCGCCGTCCCGGCGCGGCAGCGGCGCGGCGGCCGGGCTCCGCCCCGGCGCCGCCCGGCGGGACGGCTCGGGCACGGCCCGCGGTCCGCTGTCCCCCCGCCGTCGCGCCGGCCGGCCCGTGGGCGTGACGGCAGCGGCGGGGGAGGAGGGCACGGCGTCGCCGCGGCCGCCGCGGGCCGGCGGCTGGCCTGCGCGCGGCGGGCCGTGGCGGCGCGCGGCCCACGTCTGCCTCGCTGCGTACCCGGCCGGCCGGCAGTACGGCGCGCCGGCCGCCGCTGTGGGAGTGCGCTCCGACTCAGTCGGCTCCGAGTCGGAGACGGCGCCCGGCGGCGACGTGTCGGCCGACGGGCGGCGACCCGAGCTGCTCGTGCCGGTGCCGCCGCCGGCGGCAGCAGCGGCGGCAGCGGCGGCGGCGGCGGTGGTGGGAGCGGAGGCGGGGGGCGCGCGCGCCGCCAGCCGCCGCCGCACCGGTGTGGAGACGGCGGCCGGGCCTCGGCCGGCCTTAGCCGCCGGCGCCGGCTCACAGATATCCGGGGAGCCGGCCACGATCGTCTGGTCACCGGCGCCGTCCCCGCCGCGGCCGGCGTCACCGTCCTGCCGAACAGCCAGGTCGGCTCAGCTGGCAGTGAATAAGCACATCAAATGCAATAAGTTTGTACGCTTTTGCTGTGTTTGGCTTAAACTATGGGCCCTTTATTGATAAATAACGTCTCCAGGTGTCAGTTATGACATAAGCTTGCTATATTTGCAACTATTTGGAACAACTCCATAAAAATACACAACGGTCCGTTCGTTGCAGCAAGGTCTGCCCTATTCACAGATCCAATCGTATTCCTCCCCTCCCCCAGGCAGGTTGTAATAACCAAGCCCGCCCTCTCCCGGGAGCCCACCGCCGCCGCAGAGCTCCGGGCCCCTCCGAGCCGCGCCGGTGAGCGTACCATGCGACGAGCGTCGTCAGCCGGCGGCGCCCGCTGCAGGAACTCCAGGAGCGGACCGTCGGCGCGGAACCAGTACACCAGCGTGCCCAGGCCGGCCAGCTCGGCCGTGCCGTGCAGCCTGCGGCCGGGGCGAGGGCGGGGGGGGGGGGGGGGGGTCACGAGGGCCTCCGCCGCCGCCGGCAGCTCGAGACCGCGGCGGCACCGCGTCCCTCACCGACCACGCGCGCGGATACAGAGAAGCTGAACCAGTGTGCGGCCGGCAGACAGCGCCCAAAGATCCTGTGACCACCCCTACTGCTTAACGTCGCTGCGTGTGTGCCCGACAGGCCTCTTTGGACACGCTCACCAAGGAGAGCAGCTGCTATCCTGGATGATGTTAATTCTCCGCGGCTTGGTGACGATCAGACGCGAACGGTGCTCATAACAAGCTTTGAGAGGCACTTTACATTGCGAGAACGCTGTTGATACCTACATTTGAGCATTCACCTGTCACAAACAAAGACGCGTCATAAGTAAGGCAAAGCGTGTGTGGTATGTTACATAGGGCAACAATACATATCTCGGGGCAGCTGAGGGGCGGAAGGCGTGAGCGCCACCCACCTGTTGCTGGGGTACTGGAGGATCTCTCGGCAGCTGAGGGCGGCCGTGCCCAGCTGGCGGCAGTCGGCCTCGCCTTCCGTGCGGTGCACCTCCACCGTCACGTGCTCCTGCAGCACGGCACAGCCTCAGCGGCCGCCGGCTGACGACTGGCCGGTGGCGCGCACACCGCCGCTGACACGGGCGCTTCGGCTAGACAGGGCGCCCCGTCTGGAAACGGGCATCTCGGCCGGACACGGGCGCATCGGCCATACACAGGCGCGCCGGCCGGACACGGGCGCCTCGGCTAGACAGGGTGCCCCGTCTGGAAAGGGGCGCCTCGGCCGGACACGGGCGCCTTGACCAGACACGGGGGTGTCCCGGCCGGACACGGGCCCCTCGGCCGGACACGGGCGCCTCGACCGGACACGGGGGTGTCCCGGCCGGTCACCGGCGCCTCGGCCGGACACGGGCGCCTCGGCCGGACACGGGCGTCCCGGCCGGACACGGGCGCCTCGGCCGGACACGGGCGTCCCAGCCGGACACGGGCGCCTCGGCCGGACATGCACGCCGTGACCAGCATCTCGACACGCTGCCGCACCGCCACAAACCCAGACAGGCTGACAAACGGAGGCGGCCCTGCGCTGAATGCGCCGCCCGGCGCCGCCAGCCACCCTCACTGCCCAGCGCTGCCACACCATGTCGCTCTACAGATCAATTCGTGGGAGAGGGGCGGGGGCCCCGCGAGCGGGCGGTCCAGGTGAGAGAACTGTGAATCCGCCCGGAGCTACAGCGCGCAGAAAAGAACGCGGCACATGGGGCTGCCTGGCTGGATCCGGTGCGGGGTTCCCGGACGGCATACACGGGCGTTGACCGCCCAGCCTGGCAGCCACCACCAGGACCGCTGCCGCCGCCGGACGGGGACGGGGGAGAGGAGGGGGCGGCTGCACTCGGCACACTCACGTTGGCCAGATACTGGATCAGGGCACGGTCCACGAACAGCTTGTATAGCGAAGAACAGTCGAAGTTCAGGTCTCCTCTCATCACAGGTGTGTAATGGATGTCCTGCGAAAAGACAACTTACTTTCAACAGTAAATCAAATTTATCTAAGTTGCATACATGTGTAAAGTCATAGTTTAATACTACATCACCTACACAATTCAATACACCACCAAATTAACCACTTAAATACTTGATTACTGAACACTTAAGATCAAATCACGTTGCTAGGCAAAGCTGGTCGGCTCTAACACACCACCCTGATGTGTACAGACGAACGGTATCGCCTGAATTTTGAATGTAAAAACTGACTTAACGACACACGGATCTCCGCAATCCCTCCATGTACAAAGGGAGGGTCACGAGGCTCGATGGAACTGCGTCACAGCACGGAATCTCAAGGCACGTAGTGCTTAACGCGTCTCCCTCCAACCAACGCCATCGAACCCCCGGCGAACATTGAACCCCACTTTTCCACGTCTACATACACCGATCCATCAGGTGGCCTTTTGAACGAGTGCACCTACTTCAAAGCCACTTCCGACGCAAGATCTAGACACAACCATCTATAGATATAACCAAGAGACGTAACCATCTAGGCCGTGGGCGCAGGGCCCCCAACTCCATTCCCAGAACCCCCCTGCCATGCCGGCAGCCCAGCCTGAGATCCATACCACAAGCTCCCGGGAACATCGCGCGCAGCCCGACGGCAACCCTCAAGTCTCAAGCCAGTCGCCCACCTGTGCGTTCAGCAGATCTGCAACTGCAGGCCCCCTCCCTCCCACACCCCACGGATCTCGTCGCCGAGCGTCCCCCCCCCCCCCCTCTCATCCCTCTATGTTGCGCGCACCTGGTTGTAGAACATCCAGGTGAGGAAGACGCCGGCTTCTCCGAGCTGACGGCGCGCCTCAGCCGTCAGCGTCAGCAGCTGTACGTGCAGCTCGAACAGGCAGCAGCCCGGCTCCAGCTGCATGGAGGCGTCGAGCGCGGCCGGCCGCGGCGCGCCGCCGCCCGGCGTCCGGTACGCCACCTCCCGCAGCTGCCGGCACAGGAGGCGCCGGTCGGATGGTGGTCGGGAGAGGCTCGGGCTGTGGTCGGGAGAGGCTCAGGCGGTGGCCGGGAGAGGCTCGGGCGGTGGTCGGGACGGGCTCGGGCATTGGTCGGGAGAGGCTAGGGCGGTGGCCGAAAGAGGCTCGGGAGGTGGTCGGGGGAGGCTCAGGCGGTGGTCGGGAGAGGCTCGGGCGAGCACCCCATACACGGATCATGGACCATGGCGATGGTGATCATCAAGATGGCGGCTGCCTCCCCCCCCCCCCCCGCCCGGGGCGGGAAACGCTGGGCTGGACAGCTGGACAGAGCCCACCCGCCAACACGGCGTCTTTGTGTAGAACAGCAGCCGAACGGATTCCAAGACTTATGGTTTACTCGTGGCACTCTCATCGCTGACCCCCGCCCCCTCATAGCACTCCACATCGTGCGCATCTGGTGGTTTCACAGCTACCTCAGATGTCTCTTTGGCGCATGATGATGTCAGGTGTCAGATGTCTGTTCTGCGAATGCTGAACGGTAGCTCAATGCAATATGGCAAACAGATGACTCACCAAGTGCCTTAAATTGTCGCCCAACTCTGAGCCTAAAGAAAATTGCCAATTACTTCTAAGCCATGAAACTTTACATCGTAATGCTCCATACTGCTTGCCACACACCAGCCTATAGACCCTCAAACCCTCCCACCCTCGCCTCAAACAATGACGCCTCTCCGAACTCCGTGCAGTCCCCCACCCCCACCCCGCCCCTCCTCGACGTTCGCCCACGGCGGCCGGGGGCGTGCGGTGGCCGCACCTTGTTCTCGAGCTGCAGGAGACGGCCGGTGCGTGCCTCCAGCGCCGCCCGCAGCTCGGCCTCGGATTTGTCGCGCGCCCGGCCCAGCTCGGTCAGCCGGCGCGATAGCAGAGACACCTGCCGGACGGCGGGGGAAGGTCGGCGGGGCCGGACCGGACCGGAGCACCGCCGGTGACCGGCGACACAGCACGGACGCACAGGGGCAGCGCCTGCATGACGGCTTCATACGGAGACACGTCTACATCAGCCTTGCGTCGGTCCAAATGAGTGCCGCAAAAATACGAATAGAACACAGTATTGGCAATCCGTCAGCATGGTTCGTGCATCACTCGTGCAGGCGTACAGGTCGCAATCTGATATTTAGTTTCACAAAGCAGATTTTGCATAAGTTGTTCAGTTCATTAGTGAGGAACATGATTCACATAGATAAAACAGTAGTAATCTCCAGGTCTCTGTCTTCAGGCCGACGGCACTCACCAGGCGCACTTACTGCTGATGTAACGCTACTTGACGACTGCGTTGTAACGTTACTGTGGTCCGTCTCGCTCGATTAGAACCGCGCAGAAGGGCAAACTTTCAAATGAATGGAGTATTTACAGAAAAGCGAACAGGACCCTTGGGTCACTGATCCACAAGATCCAGGGGCGGCACAAAGACCGAGGTCAACTATGCACCGCACGTCGTCACCGCGCAAAACTCTGCCCGGCGTCTGGACCTGCTGCTGCTCGACTGTGCTGGCCTGCTTCCGAACCGACCCGCCACTGGGCGGTGTTGACCTGTTTCTAAACTGACCTCCTGCTGCTGGGCGGTGTTGACCTGTTTCTGCACGTCCAGCAGGGTGCGTGTCTTCTCCAGCTCCTGGACCGTCTCCACGTACTGGCAGTGGAGTGCCGCCAACTGTTTGGCCACCGACTCGCCGGTGTCGATCTGCGGCCAGAGCGGCCCGGCACGGGTCACAGGTCGACCGGTGCCGACCGCCTTCTGGCCCCCTTTCCCCTCCCCTCTCACACAACCAGCCGAACCGACCGTCCTCATCCTCCACATGCCTCCCAAGCACCAGCAGTTTTTACCACTCCTCGAAAGCCACGCGTCGCTCCCAGGCCCCACACTTCACACGACACACAACACCGCCACCTGACCCGCGATCCTGCGCCCTCGCTGGCTCGGTGCGCGTCGCTCCCAGGCCCCACACTTCACACGACACACAACACCGCCACCTGACCCGCGATCCTGCGCCCTCGCTGGCTCGGTGCGCGTCGCTCCCAGGCCCCACACTTCACACGACACACAACACCGCCACCTGACCCGCGGTCCCGCGCCCTCGCTGGCTCGGTGCGCACCGCTCCCAGGCCCCGCACTTCACACGACACACAACACCGCCACCTGACCCGCGGTCCTGCGCCCTCGCTGGCTCGGTGCGCACCGCTCCCAGGCCCCGCGCTTCACACGACACACAACACCGCCACCTGACCAGCGGTCCCGCGCCCTCGCTGGCCCGGTGCGCGTCGCAGCCCAGGCCCCGCACTTCACACGACACACAACACCGCCACCTGACCCGCGGTCTCGCGCCCTCGCTGGACCGGTGTGCGTCGCAGCCCAGGCCGCAACGCTCAGCCCGGCGTCTGCTGCTGCAAGGGACAGACGCCGTCGGCCGGCCACTGACCTTGCTCAGCAGCTCGGAGGTGGGCGTGTCGGGCGGACGACGCGGCGTCGGCGGGCCGCCCTCGGCCGGCGCGGCCGGCTCCGGCAGCGGCGAGGTGCAGACCGCCTGCGGGCACACCGGCCGGTCACCGCCGGCGCTCGCCCGCCGCCGGCCAGCGCCCGTCCACGGCCTACAGCCGACGGCGCGCCGGACAACACTCACAGCCGACACGGAAACAGCCGTCTTGAGCCGGAGACGTGAAGCAGTGGTTAGCTTGTGACCAACGAACGTCAGTGGCCAGCGCCTATTAAAAGTATCACACGAGCATTCGAGTCTTCGACTATGAAACGCTTCTGTCGCCTTATTCGTCGTAATGTTCGCCCTATCAAGATCATCGTTTAATCACCCTCCGTACACAGAGTATCCTCGGCTGCACACGCGACCGCTCGCCGCCGGACCGAGACGTAAGCCCGGCGGCGGCGGCGACGCCACCCGCCCTGACCTTCTCCTGAGTGCGAGGCTTGGGGCGAGGCCGCTCCACCACCACAGCCGGCGGCGGCGGCGGCGGCGGCGGCGCCACCAGCGCCACCTGCCGCAGCGCCAGCTGGCTCTGCAGGTCGCGAGCTTCGGCCTGCAGCCGCCAGGATCGCTGCTGCTCGGCCGTCAGCTGGTCGGCCAGCTGGCGGCCGCGAGCCTGCTCGCCGCGCAGGCTGGACTCGACGCTGGCCAGCTGACGACGGAGGGCGCAGCGGTCAGATCAGGTCAGGTCAGGTCAGGTCAGGTCGATGGCCGGCCGCTGCACCAGGGCCGATGGACGAACCGACGGGGTAAGGGGAGGCAGACAAGCATGGGGACAGTGACCCATGAGGAGGACTAACAGACGCATACTGACTGCAGAGTTGATGGCAGGACTCATTGGAGCAATATGCACTCGCCTAACAACGGACTGCTTTTGCTTGATGGAAAACAGAAGCCAATTAGTCTCACAGGAAAGACTTAAAGCTAGTGCAGTGGCGACAAATCGCTTCCTCGACCCGCAACAAAAACACGGGTTACACGAGCTCGGACACACGGCCACCTGAGCCCGCAGCCAGACCAAAAACAGTCACCTGAGCCCGCAGCCAGGCCAAAAACAGTCACCTGAGCCCGCAGCCAGACCAAAAACAGTCACCTGAGCCCGCAGCCAGATAAAAAAAAACAGGTCACCTGAGCCCGCAGTGATGACAGCGTGGCCTGCTGCTCCCGCTGCCATTCCTGGTCGCTGCCGATCTCGGACAGCTTCTCATTCGCCGAGCGCAGCAGCTCGTTCTCACGCTGCGTCGGCGCCGCGGAGACGGGGGGGGGGAGGGGGGGGGGGAGGAGGGTCAATTAGCCACCCCAGCCGAGACAAGCCCCGTGTATGACGACCACGGGCCGCAGTTGCCATGGACCCGGATCATCCGGCCCGCTGACAGGCGACACCAAATGGAGCCGTCACCGCACCGCAGCGGCCCGCAACGAACGTGGGCAGCGCTGGCGGCGTCAGGGATGCCACGACAGCCTCGCCGCGTCGATAACGCCGGCACCGCGATCAGCGCGCCGACACACCGCCTGACACCGGCGGTGTGTCAGCACAAGCCCGACGCCAGCCGACGCCAGCCGCCGCCTCGGTGAACTCTCAGTGGCCGGACTCTGAACGGGCCGACTCTGAGCAGTTGGACCGCTAGCTGGCGGTGTTACCTGAGCGTCGCGCAGGGACGTCTCGAGCTCGTCCGCACGCTGGCGCGCATGGCCGGCGGCGGCCGCCTCCTTCTGCAGCTGCTCGCTTCGCCTTTGCTCCTCCTCGTGCAGCCGGGTCAGCTCAGCTGCACGGCCAGGTCAGGTCAGGTCAGGTCAGCTGGGGTCGAGTTAAGTGAGGTCTGCTTAGGTCAAGTATGGTCCAATTACCTCGGCGGTGTCTTTTCAGACCAGGTCAGGTCAGCAGACCAGGTCGACATGTGGGATCAAGTCGGGTCAGGTCAGTGGTCAAGTTGAGTCATATCAGGTCGGCTCAGGTCAGGTTAGGTTGCGTTACAGACCGGCTCCAGCAGAATCAAATTCGGTTCGGTAAGACTGAACCATTTGAGATCAGACGGCGCTGAATTCGATCACGTGATGCCAGTTCAGCACAGGTGATGCTGGGTCCGGACGCCACAGGCCAGGGGTCAGGGCTTAGGCAGGCCGGGCCGGCTCGGATCAGGTCAGGTCAGGTTCAGCCAGAGGTCACTGGTCCGCCTCAGACTGGGCCTGTGAGAGTTCTATGGGGCCATAACTCACAGCACGCCGGCATAGGACGGCGAACCCGGGTCCCCCACTATGGCCACTGGCTGGTGGGCTTCAGAACCGGTACCACCAGCCGTTTCGCTGCTAGATCTGCTAGGATCGGCATTTAGATCGGTATTGGTTTAAAAATGCATGCAATACAAGGGACGACATGTTCGCTACGGGGATCAAAGTTTCCAAACACCCTAGCAGCCATGCACCACACGTATACCCGTCCAGATACGACACCAGCTGGGGGTCTGCATAGAATCCAAAGAATTCACAGCATGTGGTTCTTCTGAACCAGATCAGAAATACAGCCAGGTCCAAAACCGGATGGCAGTCCCAAAAATGCCTCAGGGCATAAAAGTCAGCAACCGGGCCGAGATGGTTTTCACCTGCTTTATCCCCCCTTCCCCTTCCCCCCCCCCCCCCAGAACTCATATCGTTTGTCACGCTACGGCACCGAGCTCCGAGGCTGAGACCACAGCGCTACGATGTCGCTTGGAGATCGTGGTATTCGCTTCCTCGCGACACATATTTGCTTTATTATATACTTGCTTTATTCACACTATATAAAATATAATATGTATTTGATGTATCAACGATACCTTGCGTATACTATTGATATGCGTTTTTGCTACCGCAATGCAACAATCAATTATGCCGACGAAAGCGATACAATCTGCTACCTTCTCGACAACCACACGAAATTGGACGTCACGCCTGTGCCACGGCTCAACACACCAGAAAACGCATCGGCAGCCCCTCCGCGTGCCGTCGCGGCTTGTAGGTGGGCCTCTCACCGGCCTCAGCACCACGACTTACCGATCTCACGGGCGGCAGGCCTCTCACCAGCCTCAGCACCGCGACTCACCGATCTCCCGGGCGGCGGGCCTCTCACCGGCCTCAGCATCGCGACTCACCGATCTCACGGGCGGCAGGCCTCTCACCGGCCTCGGCACCGCGACTCACCGATCTCCCGGACGGCGGGCATCTCGCAGGCCTCAGCGTCGCGACTCACCGATCTCCCGGACGGCGGGCCTCTCACCGGCCTCAGCGTCGCGACTCACCGATCTCCTGGGCGGCAGACCTCTCATCGGCCTCAGCACCGCGACTCACCGATCTCCCGGGCGGCAGGCCTCTCACCGGCCTCAGCACCGCGACTCACTGATCTCTCGGGCGGCGCGCTCGTAGGCGGGCCTCTCGGTGCGCAGCGTCTCCTCCAGCGACTGTGTGTGCGCCTGCAAGGCCGTCAGCCGACTGGCCGTCTGCTTCAGCTCCCGCTGCAGCTTGATCATCTCCACGTTCTCGGCCAGCTTGGAGCGGTTGGCTGTGGGGCAGGGCGGGCGTGGCGGAAGCGCGCGGAATACAACGGGACGGGGCGCGCCAGCTGGGTGTGGCTCGTGGGATGCAGCCGAGGAGTGGATGTGTGAGGTACATATCACATCAGCAGGGTGAGCCGCAGCAACCGAAGAGGGAATGTGTGGGGTACAGACCACACCAGCGGGGCGGGCCGCAGCAGCCGAGGAGTGAATGTGGGGGTACATATCACACCAGCGGGGCGGGCGCAGCAGCCGAGGAGGGAATGTTGAGGTACAGACCACACCAGCGGGGCGGGCCGCAGCAGCCGAGGAGTGGATATGTGGGGTACATATCACACCAGCGGGGCGGGCCGCAGCAGCCGAGGAGTGGATGTGTGAGGTACAGACCACACCAGCGGGGCGGGCCGCAGCAGCTGAGGAGGGAATGTGTGGGGTACAGACCACACTAGCGGGGCAGGCCGCAGCAGCTGAGGAGTGGATGTGAGGTACAGATCACACCAGCGGGGCGGGCCGCAGCAGCTGAGGAGGGAATGTATGGGGTACAGACACACAGCGGGGCGGGCCGCAGCAGGAGACGAGGAGGGAATGTGTGGTACAGACCACACCAGCGGGGCGGGCCGCAGCAGCCGAGGAGTGGATGTGTGAGGTACAGATCACACCAGCGGGGCGGGCCGCAGCAGCCGAGGATTGGATATGTGGGGGTACATATCACACACGTATGCGGGGCGGGCCGCAGGCAGCCGAGGAGGGAATGTGTGGGGTACAGACCACACCACGGCGGGGCCGGCCGCAGCAGCTTGAGGAGGGGAATGTTGTGGGGTACAGACCACACCAGGCGGGCCGCCGCAGCAGCTGAGGAGGGACAATGTGTGGGGTACCAGACCACACTAGCGGGGCAGGCCGCAGCAGCTGAGGAGGGAATTGTGGGGGTACAGACCACACTAAGCGGGCAGGCCGCAGCAGCCAGGCGGCTGAGGTGAGTCGTAACAGCAGCACAACATGTCACGGTCGCTGCTCCCTAACGCTCATCCGGTACAATGACGCATCAGAGTCGGCTCGCTCCGACGACTTCAATGATTTTTACTGCGCTAAACGCGTGTCAACAGATGATGTTGGAGCCGAATGCAACCGAAGTGGCTCGGTGTGCTCGTGCATTCCTCACTAACCGTGGTTGGCCTGGTTCCTCAGCACCTCCACCTCCTCCTCATGCTCCAGCTCCTTCACGCGACTCTGCTCCTTCAGCATCTCCAGCTCCTGAGCAGCACAAGAGCGTACTGAGCCCCGGCCCTCCACGCCCAGCCAACCGGCAAATCCAGCCAGCAAAACACTGCTGGCGTACGTGAGCTGTGTTATCGCCATACCCCTGCTTAGATGATTGACCTGAAGACATAATGTACATAGCATGGAAACTTGGCTACCTTGTTGCCTCATTATAGGCTTACCTTGCCTCGTAGCATTCGGTCCCCTCCCATGCTTAAGGAGACCCCTTGTGGTGCTGTTAACTCAGTAGACTGGATGAAATCAACAGCACCTCCATACAGACACACACGCTTCCACTCGCCTCAGAGAGCGCGCGCATCCAACGTCATCCGCACGGAGACGGGCCGCGTAGAACTTCCCCGGCTGCCACCGACGACTGCGACGTCGGGCCCGCCGATCGAGCTGACATCTGTCGGCGTCTGGGCGCACTCGAAGTCTCGGCAGCCGCCGTGGCGGCCGCGCCCGCCACCCACCTGCTCGTACATGTTGCACTGCTCGCGGAGCGTGGAGAACGTCTCGTCAAGCTGTCGGTTGCGGTCGGCGAGCGCGGCGGACTGCTGCTGCAGGTGCGCGGCCGTCTGGCGCGCCTCCACCAGCAGCTGCTCGGCGTACGGCGGCAGCTGCGGCTCAGCAGCGGTTGGCTGCCGCTTCTGCGAGCTGCCGGCCGGCCGGGGAGTCAGCGGTCACAGCCGAGGCGAGGATCACCGTCCACTCGCCATCAGGCCGACGGGCTCCCCCGTCTGCAATCATCTGACTAACGAGCATGCAATCATCTGCGGCAGTGTCATGCACAATGCAGGGTGGGGATCTGATTGTTTTGCATCCCTTACCCTCTCCCCCAGCCCTCCAAAAAAAATGGAATACTGGACCAACAACACAGTCATCTAAAGAACACTTTACACATGAAGTAGGTAAGCCCAGATGGTTCTGATCAAGACAGACTAGACCCAGCAAGCCGCGTAGATCCGTTGGTCGGCTGAACGGCCCGGCGGCGCTCACCTGGTCTTGGAGCTGGGCCGGGAGGAGGGCCGTCGCGGCGGCTCCGGTTTGGCCGAGAGGCCACGGCCCGGCCGGCCCTGGCTGGTGTTCACCTGCTGGCGCGCCACCAGCAGCTTGTCCTGCGGCCGCGTCAGACGTACGTCACGTCACGAACGGCGCGTGACACCGCCGCGGCCGCGTCACACACTCGTCACGCCACGGCCACGATGACGCATCGCCGCGTGCACGTCACGTCACACGGATGTGTGACGTGACGTCACAGTGGCACAGCACAAACGTCACAGCGACATCAGCTGCGTGTTGTCGGCAAAATCCAAACGTCTCGCTGCGGGAACAATACGGAAAACAAACAGTACTGGGCAAGCGGAACATGACAAACAGCAACAGGCGAGCGGGTCTGGCCCCTTCATATCTCCGTCCACGCACGAGCTGTACATGCCGAACCGGGAGGGAACCGGGTCGACCCAAATGCTGGGAGAAAGCTTGAGCTGCGCTCCCGAGATCCGTGACCTGACCTTAAGCCGCTTCCCCCCTCCCCAGGATCCGTGACCTGACCTGAGCGACGCCACGGGTATCCGTGACCTGACCTTGAGCTGGGCCACCTGGCGTTCCATCTGGCTGATCTGGTCCTGCTGCGACTGGATCAGCTCGGCCGTCTCCGGGTCTCGCTGGCGGGCCGGCGTCTCGCCCCGCTTCTTGCGGTCCTGCACCAGACGCAGCAGCTTGGTGGCCAGCCTGGTGCACGCAGCGACGAGGTTAGACACGCACGCGCGCACCGAGCTGCGGGTCGGTCGGCTCGTCGTGACATGTGACGTCAGGCGGGCAGTGATGACGTCACATGCGAGCCATCACGCCAGTCTTACATCAGATGGGATAGTGGTAATGGTGAATGCAGGCATCGCATGTTCACATTAGGGCGGTCTGCTCCATACAGGTGTGCAAATTTCGCCGACCAGCCATTAAAACGACTAAAAAAATGAATCAGCCCAAGTCCCACACACGATTTTCTCATGGCCAGGAAAGCAGAATATTGTGGCCTGGTTCCATACATAAAACAATAATGTCTGTGACCTCACAAAAAATGTGGCGATGTTGCTTGGCAGAAGGTGCGTGACAAAATACCCTATCTTAGCACTGAAGGCAAGACAAAAAAATTAATTAATAAAGGACAGTGCCTAAAAATAACAAAACACTAGCAAAAAAGCCTCGTTATCAATCACATCTCATTCATAGAAAACAATCCAAAAGGATGGTTGGGGCTTTCCTTTTGATCTTGTCCTCCTGTTTGTGGCAATGCTTCTTGAGGATGTGGTTCTCCTCCAGGAGGCGGAGGTGTCTGTCCTCTAGCTCCTCACGGGACAGCTTGTTGATCCCCGCCCGCTCCTGCACCAGCAGCGACTCTGGCGGCCGACGTACACCAGTACACTGACCATGGCATAACACAACTAATACCCTTCTTGCCCTGCAGAGCTCAGGCTAGCAAAACCTGACAAATTGTTGTGTGGATGAGGAGCCCCTATTGTGCTTCTGTACTCATGTGTGCCATACTAATACCCATAAGTGCCATTTATGCTAGAGCCTATCTGATGAAGCTTTCCAGGAGCTGTGAACCATTTTCTGCATTATTGTTGCACTCAGAGTTTTGGGGATAGCAGGAGAGGTCTATACAGGGCTCATTTTAAACCATCTATTTTGGGTCACTACATGGCACGGTCTCATATGTATGAGCTTGTTAAGTGGTTGTGTAGGCGTACATTTTCATGTCTCGTTGTTCTGCGCGCCACCCGCCCGGGACCGGAGGGGTCCGCGCACAGAGCGTGGGAACGCGAACCAGCGACGGCCAATTATAATGTCAAGGTGCGGGGAAAAAGGGGGGGGGGGGTCCCACCCGTGTGCGTGCCAAGGAAGAACGAGATGGTGTGGGCGCCAGCGTATGCGAATGCTTGGAATGAGTGTGATGGGCGCCGAGTGCGTGGAGTCTGCG